TCTTTTGGAGAGGTTTCGCTTCTCCTCCAAGAAGCTTCTTCAGCTCTGACTGGATGGTTGGGGAAGGGAAGGATTGATACTCCTTGCAGACAGCTGGTCGTTTGCATCCTTTTTAAGAGAGTCGTTGAGGCCACTTGGTGGTTTATCTGTGACCTCTGGGGTCACCTTGGAACTGCTGAATGGACTCTATGCTAGACCAGAGATAGACGATGTGGTCAGCAGTTCCAAGGAGGCCCCACACCCCATTTGCACCACTCAGGTGATCCTATGGCTCGCAACAATCTGGGTTCTCCTTGTACTGACCTCGGAAGGAAGGATGGAAGGTTGAGTCAACCGTGAGTCTGTCAGGATCGAATTGCCGGCTGTGGGCAGAGTTAGCCTGGAATACGGCATTCTAACCATTGTGCCACCATGACACCCCTGAATTAGGAAATATCTTCAGTGCTAGAATGGAGAGGGGTTTGTGGAATGGGGAGAGGAAAGGCGGAGGAGGAGGAAGAGGAGGAGGAGAAAGAGGAGGATTGTGGGGTCCTTGGTGCTCATAGGTGACACAAGTAGGTGACATCATCAGAGTTGAAGGGAGTGCTGTTTAGATACAAGTGGGTTGCCCTGTTTAGTGTAGGTACAGGAGGAGCATTGATTTTAGTTCCTAAAACAGCTGTTTGTCAACTAAAAAAATACTCCTTTGATCTTTTTAGTTGCCAGCAGAAAGGAAGTGAGGGAAAGCAGCGCATTCCTTAAATGCTTCAGATAATTGCTAGGCAGTCCAAAGCTGTCTGCGTGCAAGATTATTATTGGAGAGCATGATTGATGACTCTTGGCTATGGATGTGTCCCATTGGAGAATATACACCCAGGGGGTGGGAGGAAGACCAGGGTGATGAATGAATGTATTTTAGTGTCAGCTGCACCCAGGCTAATGCCAACATGGCCACTCCTAATAAATCATATATTTTTTTTACTCTGAGAGATGTGGCTAGAGACTTATGATTTGAATGGGGGTGGATTTGTTGGGAGCTATTTTTCACAAATCCAAAATACGTTAGAGAATTGTGTGAGACTGAGGCAAACCAGCCATCAACAGGCACAGAGAGATATATAGCACGTACACACCGTTCAGAACCACAAGACCAAAAGGGGAATTCTGGGAGTTGGAAGTCTACCCATTTTAAAATAGGTGAGACTGAGAAACCCGGCCAGGGCAGGAATCTGTATTTTGGTACCCGCTAAACCCCTCCCCACCAAAAGAGAACCCGCCACTGCCCAAAGCAGTATGTTTCCACTGATGAACGGCGCTTTCTCCCCATGGCTGGTTATTGAAATCCAGTTCCTTATCCTACCCTCTGGAACAACCCTGAGGTTTTTCAGGCTGGCGAGAACCTCAAACTCTCCACCGATGCCCCGTGGTTGAATTCCTTAAAGAACGGGAAGCTTAAAAAAAGGCCCCCAAGGTATTGTACCAGAGATATACAGTAGAGAACTGATATATTTGATTGTGAATGTACTAACAGCAGCTAGAATTGTTATTTGCAAAGAATTGGAAAAAGGAGAAAATACCAACACAGGAGGAAGTTATTAAGAAAATAGTGGAATGTGCTGAAATGAGTAAATTGACATTTGAAATTAGAGGACAAGGAAAAAAAAACAATATTATAAGATATGGGATTCATTTTATCAATGGTAAGAAAAAAAAGTGTGGAAATGATATATTTTATAGATAACTTTACAATATAAAAATAATAGAATTTAAGAGAAAATGAAATAAGAATGTACTTTTTATTAGATGAAGTGGCAATGGAAGTTACATTACATATTGGTTTAAAATGTTGAATATCCTATATGAAGTGGTGGAACAAATAGTTATTGTTAAATGAAAGAACCATAATGATAATAATATATATATATATACACACACACACACACACACACACACACAAAATGGAAAATATGAGAATTTATGGGACCTGTGAAGGAGGACTATAGACACGTAGCACAAAATAAATGCAACCAGTCGACACACTGTACGCAATTGAAAGATGGTTTTATGTTTTTATGTATTGTTTTGTCTGTGTTTGTTTAGAAAAATAAAAAAACTTTATATATATAAAAAAAAGGCCCCCAAGGATTTGCGGAGAGGAAATATGATCGAAAACTCGGTGATGGAGGAATCTGAGCTGAATGGGGGAAGAGGAAGAGGCGGGTCCGTGCACACACGCACGCACGCACACACACCCTGGTCCCTTTTACGCACCGGGAACAGGCCGGAGAACGTCCGGGATGAGAATCTCCACCAGGGTTTGGTACAAGAGGTGGTCACAGCTCCGCATCCAGGCCAGGATGGGCTCGTGTTTGCACAAGGCGATCAGCTGGTGTCTCGGGAGGATGGCTTCATAGGACTCTTCGCTGCAAAGGGAAGGCATGACTGAAAGCATCCGGGCCGCCCCTCTTCCTAAAAAAAAACCCCTCCAAGGACTCGTCTCTGCATTCGGAGCCGACGCTCCGAGGGCAGAGTTAAAATACAGGTGGTCCCCCCTGTCCACTAAAAAAATATGCTCCTTTGGTCTTTTTAGTTGACAGCAGAAAGGGAGCGTGTCATGCCCTTGTTAACAGTCAGGCTCTGAGGGAGAGGAGGGACAGCCGACAGGGAGTGGAGGTGTGATTGCGGAGGTTGTGGAGGCCGCCTCTGAATTCACTTTGAGCCTAACTGTCACGGGAAGCAGAGAGGCCTGTGGTGTTACCTGGAGGCTCCGGCGGCAGAAGCGCCCGTCCGGCTGGGGATGGATTCGGAATTCCAGAAGGAACGCCAAAGTTTCTCGAGGAATGGCAGCTGGAGGCTCACCACCACTTCGACGTTGGCCTGCAGGGACAGACGTGCCCCCCCCCCCCCCCCCGATTTGGTTCCAGCGTGGGGGAGACAGAGGGAGCAAGGCATTTCTGGACAGAGGTGCTCCCGTGGTTGCCAAATGGACGCCGCACAGCGAGCCAAAGGTGGCAGGGCCCTCCAGGAAGGGCCGCATCAAACCTGGCCCCACAGAATCACCTCGCAATGCCGGCGGTAGAAGAGCTGCAGAGCCTGGAGGTCGCGCGTCTCGATCCCTTCCTGCAGGAGGACGCTTTCCGGATTCAGGACTGGGAATTCAGGCAGCACGTGAGTGACGTCTGCGGGGTAAGAAAAAATAATAATAATCGTTTGGGAGGGGTTTTGTTTGTTTTATGCACCGTTGTCATAATTGTAGTATCAAGGTTCCAGTTAACACACCCATTTCGGAAGCATCTTCAGGGCAGCCATGTAGTTTCAGTCAATGTGGCTAAATTTTTGTTATATGGCTGGCAAAATTAGGCGGAATCTTAACTGCCCACTGGTGATCCACCGCGAATCGCAAGATATTACCAGTAGCCCTTCTGACTTACGACCACAATTGTGACCCAAGTTTCCATGGTTAATACGTTGTGTCCCGTTTTACGACTTTTCTGGCCACAGTGGCTAAGGGGGAACCACTGTGGTGGTAAAGATAGTCCCTCGGTCGTGAAGTGAATCCCCATTGACTTTGCTTATGAGAAGGTCACGATCCCGGGCCACTTGACCACGGGGACATGGCAATGGTCGTAAGGGTGAAAAACAGTCACTTTTTTTCAGTGCCGTCGTAACGTCAGTCACTAAACAAATGCTTGAAAGCAGAGGGCTCTCTGTACTTCAAAGCATTGCACGATCTGGCTTTGAGGCGCTGGCTTGGAGCCTGGGATTCAAATTTATATATAGATTAAATTTATGCAACATCTACCTGGCAGGGGCCTACCTGCCCTGGCCCCCCTCGACACCCCTAAAAGTTTCTCCCAAAGTTAGTGGGGTTTTTTCATCCATCCTGTTCTGACCCAGCTCCCCAAACACGAAAAAAAAAAACCTGACGTGAACTCAGAAGATTCCTTTATTAGGAATTCCAGCAGCTCCGGCAAAAGGTTTCTTTCGCAGGGTAAAAAGCCCGTCCAGCCGAAAGGTGAATAGTTGTCCACCACACCTGTTCATCTTCGCCCCCTGCCTTTTATCCCCAGAGCTAGTATGGGGCCTTGCTAGCAGCGGTGGCTCTTCCGTCCCAAGGACCGGCCCATAGATTTCCCCTGCTCTCCTCTCCTCTGCCTTCTGCACATCTGTGCGTCAGGCACTGGAGCCGGCTGTTCCTCCTCTTCCTCAGCCACCTCCAGACCTGGGGGCTGTTGACTCTCCACCTGAGGGCTGACAGACAGCCCAGGCTCCGCCTCTGTCTCTCTCTCTGCCAGCTCCATTCCCTCTTCCCCCTTGGAGCTCCTAGGTGTTCTGACCCACGCCCTTTTCCAACAAATCAAACACAAATCCAAAAGGAACAGAAACCTTGTAATGCTTTTGCAAAATAATTAGCTGCGATAAGCACGAGCCTTGCCAAACTGTGCGAGGCTTGCCAAAAGATAACAGACAAGAAATAATTTGCAAAATAAGAATCTTCAAATATAAATTCAGGATACTGGAATGTCCACGAGGCTGGAGTTTTCAAAATGTCTTTGCTTCCTGCAAAGTACGTTCTCTGCACAGCTGCCTTTTATCTTCTTGAAGGAGGGGCCATTACTTTGCAGCCTTACTCTTGAGTCGCCCGTGCTGTTGTAACTGCTCTTTCCTCTGAGCAACCCTCTGCGTGCATGTGCGCTTGGCACAGGCTCCTCGGGAACCTCCTCATTGCTGCTGCCAGCCCCCACAATCTCCAAAGGCAGCAGTCCACTCCCTAATGGTCCTGGCCCCTCATCTGAGTCCTCGCTCTCCTCCGCCGTCTGCACCTGCTGCCGGCTAACCACACCATCAGGTTACCCTGAGGCTGACCCTGACTCCCACACCTCCTCCTCCTCCTCCTCCTCCTGATTTGGCTACCGGAGGGCTGCCGGCACATCATGTCGGATAAGGATATAGGGTGACAAGTAAATCGAAACATTAAACCCAAAGAAGATCAAACTTGAAGTATTTGGGGGTCCTGTAAAATGCACTTTATTGACAAAGACTGACAGCAGGCATTCGAAAACATTTCTCACCAATGTATTGCTGGTGGTGTTGACACTGGGCCGCTACTGACTCTTCGGGGCTAGTGTGGGGGGCACTGATGCCCCCTCCCTCCGTTGCACCATCCAACTTCTGGGAAGGTCGGTACCTGCAGAACGAGAGGGGAAGAGACTCCTTTTATGTGGGCTTTCAGGGAAGGAAGGAAGAATAAGAGCGTAACAGAATTGGAAGGGACCTGGGAGGTCCTCTAGTCCAACCCCGCTTGAGCAAGAGACAATGTTGGACAAACGGTTGTCCGATCTCTTCTTCAAAACTTCCAGTGCTGGAGCACCCAGAACGTCTGGATTGCTAGACTATATAATAACAGAATTGGAAGGGACCTTGGAGGTCTTCAAGTCTAACCCCGTTCGAGTAGGAGACCCTATACCATTCTGGACAAATGGTTATCCCATCTCTTCTTAAAAGCCTCCACAACTTCTGGAGGCAAGAAGTTCCACTGGTTCACTGTTCTCCCTGTCAGGAAATTCCTCCTTATGGCTAGTTTGCTTCTCTCCTGGATGAGTTTCCATCGTTTACTTTTCTTATCCTCGTGTGTTTTAGAGAGTAGAATAACAGAGATGGAAGGGACCTGGGAGGTCTTCTAGTACAACCCCCAGCCCAAGCAGGAGACCTTATGTCATTTCAGACAAATGGTGGTCCAGTCTATTTTTAAAAATCTCCAGTGCTGGAGCACGTAGAACTTCTGGTGGCAAGCTGTTCCACTGGTTCATTGTTCTTAGCGTCAGGAAATTTCTCCTTATGTCTAGGTTGGATGCAAAAATTTAGCAACCGGTTCTGTGGCCCAGTTGCTGGGTGGGCGTGGCCACGGTGGGCGTGGCCTAGTCAGCATCCTGCACTACCCTGGCCTGGGAGCAGAAACGGGTTGTGGGGGGCTGCTTTCACCCTCCCCAGGCTCCGGAGGCATCTCTGGAGGCTGGAAACGGGCCCATTTCTGGCCTTCCAGAACTTCCAGGCGGCCCATTTTTTGCCCTCCCTGAGCCTCCGCGTGGGCCCTGTACTTTCCTGCGATCCAAAACAGGCCATGCAGGGACTCCTGGGAGAGGCAGGGTGGGGCCAGCCAGGGGTGGATTTGCCGGTTCGCCAAACTGGCCACAAAATCAACAACCGGTTCAGCCGAACCAGTGTGAACCGTGTGAGCAGATGATTCCCTGGTTGGATTTCTCTTTGATAAACTTCCACCTGTTACTTCTTGTCCCGGCCTTGCGTGATTTGGAAAACAGGTTCATCCCTAGTTGTGTGTTTGTGTGTGTGTGTGTATGTGGTTGGGTGGGGGGACAGCTGGTCAGACGGGACTTCTGGAAACTTCCAATTTCCTCAAGGCAAGCCGGGCATTCAGCTACAGTTTTATTTGTTTTGATTGATTAGCCCTTGGGCCGTGTGGAAGGGCAGAGTTCCAAGTGTCAGGATTCCGGCAGTTACCCCCCATTTAAATCATGAGTCTCGAGCCAAACTTCCAAAACTCAAAAAGGATTTATTGGGAGTTAACATGTCTGGCACTGCTTGGGTGTAGCCGACTCTGAGATATAGCATTCACTGTCACCCTTGACCCTGGTTTCCCCCCCACACCCCCTGGGGGTATTGTAATTCATATCCTCCAATGGGACACATCCATAGTGTCATGCCCCTGGTGGAGACTGACTCCGAGACAGCCGACAGGGAGTGGAAGTGGGGCTCCAGAGGTTGTGGAGGAGGCTGGGGAAGGGCAGAGGCCGGCTGGGCAGTCAGAGGAGGACCCAGGCCCATTCCTTCTCCATCCTAGGGCAGGAAGGGAGGAGCGGATAAGGGAGAAATGTGAATGGCGTGGTCTACGGGGGAGGAAAGAGCCCTGATCCCCTTCATGAGCTGCAGCTGTGACAACTGAATAAGAGGACGGACATGCGTATTGGCAAACGCTGGAAACAAAGCATGGAAATATCTCTAGTTTATGGTTTCTCTCTGGGTTTGGCGTCCTTCCCATTGTGTTCTGTTATCTGTGGACGTCCTCCAGCCCTTTTCTCGCCTGGTTTGTGTTGCTTTTTTCCTTCTTCTTGTAACTGCTTGTGTGGGAGATTTTTGTCTTCCCCCCAAGGATATTCAGAACTTGGAAGCAAAGTGAAGGAATAAAAGGGGCTTCCCCTGTTTTCTGTGACTGTGTTTGTTTGGTCTCTCCACCCTGGGTCATCACACATAGCCCAGAGTCATCAATCATGATCTCCAGGTAGAATTGTGCATGGCAGAAGCTTCAGTCACCTAGTTTACTATCTTTGAAAACATTTGTGGAATGCACTTTCCATTTCCAAGCTGCCAGCAGTGCTCTTTCAAACCCCTTTCCCTCCTCCTTTTCTGTTGGCAACTCTAAAAAGACCATAGAAATATTTCATGAGTTGACACCAGAAACAAATCATTACTAAAGATTTGGTAACAGTGATTTCAAACGGAACACAGGTACACGGGCTTTCTGGATGGAGTGATGGGGTTTGTAGTGGCACACCGACTTCGCCTTATATTTTTGAGGAAGCCACCTTAAAAACAACAAAAACATGGAATTTCTTTCTCCTTTGCGGTGTGTGGGGGTGGTGTCTTCCTCTGCCCCGATTTGAAAGGCCTTCTGTCACTCCATGAGGACTAGCAACGTGAGTTTGCAACGTGCCGCTAAGCTCCTACCTCTGCTTCTGGTGGGCTGTTTGCTGCCTCATGGCCATGTACTGGGCATCTTCCTGCAAACGGTTGAGCGGCGACTCTGGCTTGAGACGGATCCCGTAGTAATGGTACTTGGAGTTCCCCCTGTGGAGGATAATGGGCAGCGGGTTATTTCCAAGTGGGGTCGACTCCCACCGTCTCCATCCTCACTACCCTCTTCGTCCTTGAGGGGGCGCCATGAGGCCATGTCCAGTTCTGACGTCATTAGCAGAGCCGGAAGTTATTATTACCTTTATGGTCCGAGGACAACAGGTGTACGATGAGATTGGCTGAGCCTCTCACGGCCCCCAACACAACTCGCAGTGGGGAGAGAAGTCCCTAACCCAGTCCCAATCTTATTACACGGTCTAATAAGGGACGCTGTAGGTCATCTAGTCCAACCCCCTGCCCAAGAGGAGACCCTACGCCATTTAACAGATTAACAGAGTAGGAAGGGACCCTGTAGGTCATCTAGTCCAACCCCCTAACCAAGAGGAGAACCTATGCCATTTAACAGATTAACAGAGTTGGAAGGGACCCTGTAGGTCATCTAGTCCAACCCCCTAACCAAGAGGAGAACCTATGCCATTTAACAGATTAACAGAGTTGGAAGGGACCCTGTAGGTCATCTAGTCCAACCCCCTGCCC